ACCAAAATCCGAGCTTATACCTTGAGATTGTAGACAAATCATCAAGGTTTGCTCCACAAAATCAACATCAGCAAGAAAAATAAAACAAGAATTAGACTTGCCTTGTAGCAGCACAACAATGTGCAGAGTTTTAAATAAATCTTTAATGTTAAAATTCAGAAAAAAGCTTTAATGCCACCACTTTCAGTAAAGCACAAAAGTGACAGACTTGATTGGGCACAAAAACACATGACATGGTCCAAAGAATGGATTGAAGTTTTGTTCAGTGATGAAAAAAAAATTCAACTTAGATGGTCCAGATGGTTAGAAATATTATTGGCACAGTTTAAGAACCAAAAAACAAATATTTTCAAAATGCCAAATGGGTGGGGGATCAATAATGGTGTGGGGTGCGTTTGGATTCAATGGAACCACAGATTTAGCATTTATAATTCAAAGAATGAATTCAGAGAAGTATCAAGGCATGCTTGAAGATCATTTATTGGAAGGACAATGCCCCTGTGCATGCCTCTAAATCAACAAAAATGTGGTTTAAACGTAAAAATATTAATCTGATGACATGGCCTGCTAGAAGCCCTGACCTGAATCCGATAAAAATCTTTGGGTGGTGATGGTTCATACAGTTCATGCCAATGGAAAGCAGTTTTCCACAATTCATGATTTGAAGGCAGCAATTTCAGATGCTTGGGATAAACTTAAGATTGAATTCCTTCAGAATCTAATTGAAACAATGCCTAATCGAGTATTTAATGTAATTAAGTTAAATGGTGGTTACATTGGCCATTAAATTGTAAGAAAACTTTGCAATTTGAAACCTGTCCGGATAAATATGTAACAGTTTTTTTGTACAAAATTTTCAAAAATATCATTTTCAGTGACAAAATGTTAATGTTTGATTAAAATTCTTATTTTGCAGTGTGAAAACATGTCATTTTTTAATAAAACATTTGTCAATTAATGCAGTAAATTTGGGTTTCACTTTAATTTTTTTGTGTCCGTATAAATTTGAAACTCACCTTAACTATATCCCAGTGTGGCGAGTGGTTATTTGAATAGTTTTCTTTTAAACATATTTTCTTTGTGTTTTTGAACTTAAGTATTTTCTTTTATTATTTCTCATCCATTCTGGTTAGTGTTTAGTGACTGCAGATTTGTCATTATTTTTTATTGCTTGGATGTGCTTAACAAATCTTGTTTGGAGTTCCTTCTTGGTTTCCCTTATATAAATGTGGGGATCAATTCAATTTCACTCCAGCTTATATACAATATTACTTCTGTTTCATATTCCTAATTGTGGTTCATTTTCTGTTTTTAATTTTTTTTTACTAATTGATTGTAATAATTATGCTGTTCCGGTACTAATAGAATAGCACTTTTTCTAACTTTGTTTTTTCATTTTAACAAACTTCATATCCTTGGTATTTAATCCATTTGGTTTAGAATTTTAGATGTTTTTGACCAACTATTAATGATTTTTCTGCTATACCCATTAAATAAATAATGTCATAAAAACATATTTATTTCTTTTTCTTGATCTTTTGGATTGGTTGTTTTTTGACATTTTTTTATAAACATATTGAATGTATTTTTTATGACATGCATCGGTATTTTTGATTTATAATACAGGGGGGTGCAAAAGTATATCTACTTTTGCACCCCCCTGATATACAGTTGAGAATTTGAGAAATACAAGTGTTTGGTGTTTATTATTATTATTTTTATTATATTTTATTAGTTCATATTCCTTATTTGTGATTTAATTTTTACATAAAAATAAATGTTTTTTTCCTAAACAATTTCAAGTTGAAAGGGGTAATTTTTAATATTGATCAGTGAATGGTCTGTTGCTTACTAGGATTTTGTGTGTTTTCATTCTAATGGAATATTTTGATGTTCTGTTATTTTACTTTAATATATGTTTTGTTTCATCTTCAGATATTGTCTTTGGCCTTTAGGTTTTAAGTTTTGAATTATGCCTGGTGTGGATTTATTGTCAATTCAAGATAATTTCCACGGTTTATTTTTTCATGTACTATTCTATCATAACTTGGTCAATTAATAACTATGCTGTAATTTGCATCTTTGTATTACTTATGTATTACTGAACATAAAAGTTCAATAATACATAAATCAGCAAAAATTATTACTGTTGTACTGTACCAAAAATTAAAATATATTCATTTTAAAAGAAAGTCACTCTGAAGAATTTGATGACTGAAATATTAATCAAAGGCTTGAAACCAAAACAGTTCCACATCTTCAGTGTCATCGTCAGAGTTGTCAGAAAGGTTATTGGAATCTGTAGAGGGCTTGGTAAGAAAGATGACTGCAAAGAAATAGAAGTACTTGTTGAGGTAGGGATCCTGGGTGTAGCTTTCAAGAAGAATCTCATTAGTGTGATCTACTTTGTAAGTTTCCTATTTTATGACAGCATTATAAAAGTTCATTCATTTGCTGTTTCACTTTCATAAACTGTTCAATATTGGGATCCATACCATCTAGTTCTAATACAACCACATTCAATTTTGACAACATACCAGCTAACCTCTTTCCTCCTCTTTCAATTATTATTATGCTTCCAACCTTGTTGCCCCTTCTTTTGATTCTTGGCATTTTCTCCAGACATTTTGTATTATGAAGTGTAATACAAATTTATAAACAAAATATGTAGTCTTGGAGATAGCAAAGCTTTCATGTAGTAAACACTGACCAACAGCAAGAACAAGAGTAAGATTATGAAATGGGATTCCTCACACTGGAGAGCTGGTTGTTAAACAGGTAGATCATTTAGGAGTGGCTGCAATGAAGATTTGCTGAAGCAGGAAAAGAATAGGGATGGTGTATATCAGGCCTGACTAATGAGTTGATTGTGACTGTCATCATCACCTTGTCAATTGCAAATAATATAATTTGTTAAGACATGAAACAATTTGTAATTTTTACAAGAATTTTCTATTTTTAGACATTTTCTTAACCATTCTCTAAAATAGCATTGGTTGTCTTGATTTCTGAGAGCTACTGACCCTGCTCTGGTCCAATCCAGAGCAGGGTTAGTAGCTCTGACTCGGGTCCGCCTCAGACGAGATCTCCACGTGGTAAGTCCCACTGCACCGACCCCATCTGGAAAAGCCAAACTGCCTGAGCGAAAGACAAAATCACTTTGTCTCTGCCAATCGTTAGGCCTACACGACATTAGTGTACGTAGTGTCTACGTATTTTCGGAATATCCCTAAAATATATCAAAAATAGCTAAGTTCCTTTTCTGCTACTGTCCCAATTAAATGAAAAGTTGTCCCATCCCAATTAAACAATTAAATTATGTATTAATTTGTTAATTTGGTTTCTGTTCTTTGATATTTGGCCCAATAAAGCAGCTGCCCCGATTAACCAGTGGCCCAATTAAACAGAATCAACTGTGTATGTATATTATTCCATAATAAACATAATCATTTTAAATAGATAAAGAAATAAAATTATGATGGTAGGTCATGTATTTTTGATCCATGAAGATATTTAACCTTGTCATTGTAAGTTGGTCAGGTTCTGTATACATCAGTACTGGTGACAGTTGATTGAAATACTGCTAATATTTGTTGTTATATCTCTATAGTTTTTCATAAATATTTATGAAAGAATTGACTTACTGTAATATTATAAATTAAAGAAAAATATAAAAAAATTATACTAGGCATTTTACTCTTGCATTTAATTTTAAAAAATTACAAATTTAGAGATCAAATTTGAATAAATATTTAACTAAACTATTGAAAATATTCATTGATACCATTTTCCTAATTTCTCTTAGCAATTCATTATTTTCTTTCGAAGTTTGAATGTATATATTTTGATTTCAAGCATTCTGCCAGTAAGATATGTCATTGCACATTTTTAAGTATAGCTAAAAGCTGCTTTAAAGTATAAACAGTTGAGAGAAGAGGCTAAAGTTCAGTTTTTCTCATTCTCAAAATGTACAAGTACAGCTTTATAAATACAATTAAAAAACAATAGGTAAATTATAATTTGAATGTAAAAATTTTTCTTGATTTTTCTGAAATTTTAAATTGAAATACAAAGAAAAATATTATTTTTGTAGATCCTCTCATCTGAATAGTTTAATTATACGGTGGAACTTTGCTTAACGAGCATAATTCCTTCCAGCATCTTACTCGTAATGAGAAACACTCATTAAACGAGACAATTTTTCCCATATGAATTAATGTAAAATATGATAATTTGTTCCATGCTGAAAAAATACTAAAATATTTTACGTATAACATTTATTCAAAGAAAATTATACAATATACATTGTTAAGGAGTGTGAATCATTTTTATCTTTTAGCGCTGAATGAATTGACCTGAAGTGCGAATTCGATTTGCAGAAAAGAAAAAAAAAAAAGGAAATATGTCTGATAAACACACCAAACAATATGCCAAATTCTTGGGCTATGTAAAGGCTATAATTAATTAATTTCTAATATTTAATTATAGCCTTTACATAGCCCAAGAATTCGGCATATCATTTGGCGTGTTTATTATATAACAGGCGATGGTTGTTGATGTTTATACATAATGTGTGTGAATACAAGTTTGGAAAAATGTGTGATCACTGGCGACACTAAGATGCTAGTGAAACGAGTGCTAAACACAGACTGATGGAGCAGGCACACGATCCGGGACTTCCCCTTTTCTCGTTACTCGTTATGCAAAATTTTCCTCGTTGAGTCATTTTTTTACAATTTGTTTTGCTCATTACGCAAAATACTCGTTAAGCAAGGTTCCACTGTATAAGTATTTTATAAAATAATTATAATAATAATTTTTACATATAGTATTATATATAGTTTTACAGTATTTATTTAATATGAAATGTGGTGTGGATAATTGTTTATGATTATAAAATTAAATTCGCAGGATGTGTAAATAATATATAGCTTAAAATGTTTCTAGTATAAAATGTCTAATTTTAATTCTTGTCCTTTTATAATAAATGTAAATTGTAGGAAATGACCATTCAGTGGTGTTTGAAACGTGCAGAATTGGTTTTCAAATGTGTTAAAGGATTTATGATTGAAATGGCTTCATTGGTAGGGGAAGAAACGAGAACTGTGCAGTTTCTTGTTCCAAAGGTATGTTTATTGTTATTACCTTTCCAGCAATGTTACCAGTCTTGAAATATTATAATTCTCGGGATTTGATTTAAACCTAATTTTTATTGGCTTTATTGGAAATAAACTGACAATTTCTAGGGAACAGTTACATTTTTTTTCACGAAATACTACCCAATGGCAACACAATCACTTGAATAAACCTGCAGAGGACATCAGCATACACTCCATCAACAATCATAATCTGTGCGCAAAATTTGCATCTATAGGAATATCATATACAGTACATACAAAGACAGTAACGTCAAGTTTTGAAATATTTTATTACTAGCAAATATCAGTTGCAGATTCCTTAATATCATTTGAGGGCATGTGATTGTGAATGAGCAGTTGGACGACTTGGGGTGGGTCAAAGTGACACCAGAAATAGATATTTCAAAGAGTTCAATTCACTAATTAAAAAGCCATTGTATTCCATGGGAAGACTATGCACAGTATGTGTATTCTTATGCACAGTAGTGGTTGGTGAAGGTGCACAACATCCCAAAAGGGGTCAGTACATATCCCTTTTAGAAAAAAGAAACAGAATTGGTACTTCTGCAGTTAGCTGCTGACCTAGCAAATTCTTCAGTCATCTTGATACCACCCAAACAACACAGGTGAACCACATGCCATAGCCTGTCAGTTACCCTCACTCTAGGCCACAGATTACAGTAGTGTTAGAGAGCATTGTGATTAGGAATGTCTGGATTGATCCAAGATAATCTCAGACAAATCCTAGTTTGGTGTTGTAAATAATTTTGGGACATGGGTCAATGTGGGGCGATACCAACTACAACATATTTGTGAAGTTTAGAATTATGGTCTTTGCATCACTGGTATTGCAATTAATGGCAGATCATTGCACATATTTTCACAACGATCATTCTCAGGAGAATAGTATTGTGACGAGTTTCTGGAGAATCGTTGATCTTTTCCAAGTTGCAAGTCCAGTCTTTACATTTGTGGGCAATGACACTCTTAAGACCGTGACATACTAGCCCATTTTTGTGACAGACACATTGCTGGGTGACAGAAAAACTTGTTTCTCTGGCATCGGGAGAACAGTCGTTGGAGAGTCAAACTGCTTTAACTTTCAAGAGACAAAAAGTCTGCTGTCGCCGTCGCCGGCCAGAATAAATGAGTACATGTAGATTTATCATGCGAGTACAGCTCTCATTTACAAGACAGAAAGAAATAAAAAAGAGGATAGTTACTCATTGGCAATAGATAGGATAATTAATTGTGCTCCACAGTGGAATAGTTAATGTACAAATGTACAATTAACTATTTCATTACAGAGAAAAATTATTTTTGGAAATACAGTATATGTTTGTCTATTTTGTAAAACCATGTATTTTTTATTTTCTTTAAGTCATAAATGCTTTTGATAAAATTATTAATTACAAAAATTTTTTATAGAAGCAATTTTCATCAGTTTTCAAATTTTTTCAAAATTGAGCCAAAAACAAAATTGTATAGTTTGTTCAATGACATCCACGTTTTCATGGTGTATGCTGAAGGTAATTTAAAAGTTTCATCAGAATGTTCTTTTTACTAAAATACAACATTTATTATCTGTGATAAAGAAATTGATAATTTTTAAATGCTGTTGAGTTAGTGTGAGGATTCTCTATTAATCCAACAATTGTCAAAAAAGGGGAAGGTTGCTGAAAATATACCAAAAAATTATTCTGCTGTAAAATGTTCTATTATAACTGAATTTGTGTATTCAATATGATTATAATATTGTTTAGAATTTTAAATTCTTTGCTGGCATCGAGGCAGTTTGTTAGTAGTACAACTATTTCCAATCAAAAGCATGTGATTTATAGCAGGTTTTGGCAGCAGATAAGGTCGCATAACAATACCACAAAATTTCCTAAAGAAATAAATTGAAAATAGTTTATATAAAAACAGATATTCTCCTAACCTTCCCAAATATACTTTTTTTTTACTTAAACAATTACAACAAAGAACTATACACAACATTATTTTTTTCCTATACAAGTACACTTTACACATGAAATATATAGGGAAGCCCAGAGATCCAGGTCTGGTCCTGGTCTCTGGAACATAGCCTATAACTCTGTTCTGCACTTAAACGACACCCTGCCTCCTGGCTGCCGTATGCATACAAGGCTATGCGGACAACACAATTACTTTAGCTTCACACAGGAACAGTGAATGCTTACAGGACATGTGAATGTGATTGAGAATGTCATTGCTTCAGTGGAGTATTAATTAAGCATAGGCAACCAATTAACACAGATAAATGCGAAAGCACGATAGTTGGTAGAAAAGCGCCACTCGTCAGGAAGCTTACCCTTCAAATAGGTGCTCACAGAATAAAGCAAACAATGGAAATGAAATATTTAGGTGTTACTCTTGATGAGAGACTTAACTTCACACCCCACATCAAATACATCACGAAAAAAGCTAAAAAGGCAGCCAATGCCCTCATTAGTATTGCTAGGAACACGTGGGGCCTTGGCCCTAATGCTACTAAGCTTATTTACAGGAGTGCAATTCAGCCAGCACTCCTCTATGCCGTACAGGTCTGGGGCCAAGTGGCCGCCAAAGTAAAAAACTGTTATCTGTTCAAAGGATTGCAGCTCTGCATTTGTAAGGCTTATAGGACCGCACCCACTAGTGCCCTTTTGGTAATGTCAGGATTGACCCCTATTGACTTAGAAATTAAATGCATTATTTGGCAGGAAAATCTGGTCACCTTACCCTGGCAAGATTACAGTGACTCAGATGTCAACAATATGATTAGAGTAGGTAAGATTTCCCCAGTTTGACCTTGATCGATGATATCAAAAAAATTCAGCATCAACAAAAATACCCTCCTGACTTACAATTACCACCCCTCCCACCAGCTTGCCCGATGTTTACTTCAAAGATCCAGATGATCATCTTTACACATGTTTGGGATTTACATTGACGGTTACAAGATGGGTGACAATGTGGGTGCCGCTTTTATAGTTTACTCCAACATAGGCTGCAAGCTTCACAACGCCCGATAGCACAGGTGGAAACTTTAGCTATTTATATGAGTTTAATTCACATTAGGCGTAGTAAGGACAAAAGACACTACTTACACTATTGCATTTATTCTGAGAGTAGGATAGCTTTAGATTTAATATATGTCTCTTCAATCTGAATGGTTAACAAACGGTAGACTTTCTTTCAGCTCTGAGGTTAAGTATTCCTTTATTGTAAATTACATATGCATTTCAGGCTTGTATGAGCCCCTCTTCAGTGTAAATTCTCAGATGGTTGAGTAACACTTTTTAAAAATTGTATGACATCAACAATGACATTATTACCAACGAAACACATGAATAACAATCGTATATGAGTATAATTCCCAAACCTGTTCTTTTCTAAGTATTTATCAGCTATTATACCAGATTTTGTGAAGAAAATTTAATGACAAAATGGATAAAAAGAACAGGTTTGGGAATTATACTCATATACGATTGTTATTCATGTGTTTCGTTGGTAATAATGTCATTGTTGATGTCATACAATTTTTAAAAAGTGTTACTCAACCATCTGAGAATTTACACTGAAGAGGGGCTCATACAAGCCTGAAATGCATATGTAATTTACAATAAAGGAATACTTAACCTCAGAGCTGAAAGAAAGTCTACCGTTTGTTAACCATTCGGATTGAAGAGACATATACTATATCTAAGTATTTATCAGCTATTATACCAGATTTTGTGAAGAAAATTTAATGACAAAATGGATAAAAAGAACAGGTTTGGGAATTATACTCATATACGATTGTTATTCATGTGTTTCGTTGGTAATAATGTCATTGTTGATGTCATACAATTTTTATAAAGTGTTACTCAACCATCTGAGAATTTACACTGAAGAGGGGCTCATACAAGCCTGAAATGCTTATGTAATTTACAATAAAGGAATACTTAACCTCAGAGCTGAAAGAAAGTCTACCGTTTGTTAACCATTCGGATTGAAGAGACATATACTAAATCTAAGTATTTATCAGCTATTATACCAGATTTTGTGTAGGATAGCTTTACACAAGATTGCGAAGTCTGATAGCAGCTTAAAACTTGTCCATTCTCATACACCTGCAGTGTTGGTTGCAAAGCTAAGGTTGCAAAAGTCGAAAGATACGTTTATATCATCAATTTGTTAATCGATCTTAAAAATAACAGATGAGGTGATGCATCTGTCTGTGGAGGTGTTTCTCTTAACATCTGTTATTTGCATGAAAGACCACAATGTTGCAATAAAAAATAAAGTGGTGAAATTTTTTGAATTTTTACAGGAATCACCAACTTATATATGACTAGTAGCCTGGGATGCCCCCTAGTGGGCGTTATTTACAAATTGCCATTACCCGTTGAATGGGTTAATAGATATTAAAATATTACCTTATATTACCTTAACTATTTCAAACCTTATCGTCTTACGTAGTGATTCAAACCTATCCGGTTTTTCGTTATTTGCCCCCTAGTGAACATTACATGCATTCCGTGACAATAATAAATTCCTATTACAAATATACTGAATTATTTATATTGTTATATTGACCAAATGAATAATAATAATTTATATTGTTAATTTAATTTGAATGTTTGAAATATGACACACGATAAGGGCGCCTCTAGTGTCCGTTATCAAACGGTTACGGGATGGATGGATGGATACCTGTTGAATGGGTTTTATATATATAGATAAGTAGTTTTTCCTTGGTCAGTGCCCACTACTAATAACACCAAAAAATAAAAAATGTTTGTTCCCTAGCAATTGTCAACTGGTGTATTTGGCTTTGCATTTATTTTCTGTTTCCTTTTGCATCACTGTTTTTGAAATTGTGTGTGTATATTTTTTTTTTGTTTAATTTTTCTTTAAGGGAATATCGGAAGGCCTTTTTTCTAGTCTGTCGTCCATGCTACCCAGCATATTTCGAGTATCCAATCCTCTGGTGCTAAAGACTAGGTGAAAGAAATAATAATCAGTCAAACTTTACTTTGTTCGTCATGTGCATAAAATTGTGAATCTTGAAATATACAGATTGTTGAAATAGTACAAGTTAATAAAGTGTCTTGTTCTGCTTCTGGATTTTTGTAATTTATGAACCTAATTAGAAGTAAATATAGCCAGTGTTGGCCAATATCTTGGTTAATCATTCATGTTGTCAATTTAATGAAGTTAGATGGCATTCACTGCACACAGTGCTTGAAATATTGAGAAACAAAACCTTTTTAATCTCTGGACACGTATTTGTTCTGATGATAATTTCAACATGGAAGAAAATTGGTTTGAAGGCGGAGTCTATGATGATAGAAGTAATTTTAACCAATATTCTGGATTTTTAAGTAGTAATCCATGTCGGTAAACTCCAGGGCAGGGTTGCCATCTCCTAATCTCGGTTTAAGGCCAGTCAGTATATTTTTAAATAAATAAAAAAATCAAACCAAATTTTATATTGATTTTTAGTTCTAAAGTACTTTGAGACAAAACCAAGATACGTTCAAATAGGATATAATATTCAAAAAGGTTAAAAGGAACACTGTAATAAAAATATATTTTGCATTATATCATAAGAAAAGTTTTGGGTCTAGATCATTATCTTCCACATCTGAACAACATTCGGCATACGCTGTGTCTGTCGAAAAGTTTTTAGCATTTCTGGAGATGCAGAAAAGTCTTTGCAACATTTTCCTAAAACCAGTAACTCTGCTCCGATTCTAATAATAGCATCAAGAAGATTTGGCTGCATTCTGTTTCTTGCCTTCATTTTCACAGAGAAAATACCCTTTCAACTACAACATTGCTGATAGCGGTTATAAGCAAGTAAGGGCAAAGGTTGCAAGCTCTTTAAATGCATGATGCTGAAGCACACCAATCCAAAATTGTTCTGTGTCTACAGGGAGTTCGTCTTTCTTAAACGGAGCCGCTTCTTGCCAGTCAACAAAAGGCGACTTCCTGTACTGTTCTTCAATTATGTTGACGTTGCTTGCAAGATGCAGAAATGGTAAGTCAGAAAACACAGGTTTTGAAACTTGATTTAAAACTATTCCAGGGCTTAATTTTGATAGACTGAAAAGTGTGACTTGATTGAGAGCTTCTTCAAGCATAGCCATAAATGTTTCTTTGACATTCTTAATTTCTAAATGAACCTCATCACTGTTGTTCTGTAGGAATTTATTACATGCCATTATGAATTTGGCACCAAAATCAACTTCTTGAATCTTTTTCTTTTGCCTGTTGACATCATACGACCTGTTCTGAAGACTCTGCTGATGAAAGAAAAGTTGTTTATATAGTTCATTAGGATCAGCTTTCATTTGTTGGAAAATGCCGTTCAATTTTTCAAATAACTGCACAACAGGTGTTGCAAAGTTAAAATACAACTATAATGTGGTTGCTGTCTATTGGTTCTTGTATGTGAAGTCTCTAATCCAAAACTTGTTTGGTAGACTGCCTCACAGCATTGCACTTAGAAACATCTTTATTTTACAAAATTGGATTACAAATGCATTTTGGGTTGATTTATATTTACAACCCCTCTTTGGTGCTGTATGGAAAAACAATGATATAAGTGGAGCACAATATTATCTAGATATCATGGAAAGAGGAATTTTTACATTACATAACCATTTACATACCATAAAACGTGATAAAATACCTTAACTTCATAGTATTTGGTGTATGTTCTTCTCTTAAATGACATCTAAGATAATTTATGTCGTATTCCAATATTTCAATGTTCTTCGTAAGTGTTACTAACCTCGTTTCCTTATCCATTACTCTTTTCAGTTCTTGTATATGAAACAAGTTTTGGATTATAAAGAGACGTTTCATATATTAAAATACAAGTAATTTTTATAATCAAATAGCATTTTTTTTAAGAGTCTTGCTTTAAAGTTTGCATCAAAATGCAACTGGCCTAAATCAGCAGAGATAAAATAAGCCTTTAATTCTTCCCAGTTTGTGAGAATATTAAACATCACCTTCCCACGCATAAGTCACCACATGAATGAATGGAAGTAGTGCTGTTCTGGTTTGCTGAAAATCTGGAGAAGTGTTCATAGTTGCAAATAATTCCTTGAATGTGTCTCTTCATAATTTGCTGTGGCAAAACCAACTTGGCATTTCTGCCAATAAAAATCTAATATTTGATGAGAATTTGGATACAGTCGACCCCCGTATAAGATCATTGATTATTCCATCATATATGAATTCCATGTTGTACAAGTCACTTAAATTTTACAAATACGTGAGCCGTTCACAGCCCGGTACACGTATTTGTAAAATCTAAGTGACTCGTACAACATGAAATTCATATAAAACGGAATAATCAATGATCTTATACGGGGGTCGACTGTACTGAATACATAGTGCAACGAATGACACACACATTTGAGTCGAACACGTGAAATGAATGGTCGAGACTAAAAGCTATCTCTCTGAGTTACTGCATCCGGCCCTGTTGGATGCAGCATCTAATGAAAATCCTACACAATTCATAAGGCTCTGGCCACATCTCTTGATTTCTTCATCAATCAGATTGAACAGGTTTTCACCAGTAGCTTCTTAAACTGGGATTAACACTAGAAATTCAGTTACAATTTCATTTCTCCTATCACTAAGAAATCATACTAACACACACAATTGCTTTTAGGTAGAAATATCGGTCGACTCATCGACGACGATGGCATATTTCTTATTTTTTTTTAAATTGGCAAAAAGCTCTGTTTTTAGCACGGGAGAAGTCTTTTTTTATCAAGCAAGCACACTTTTACTTTTGATGCAATTTTATATGTTCCAATATACTTCCATGTCCACGTGCTTTCATTATTTCAGTCATGTGGTCGACAGAACATAGTGCACAATAACATATCACGCTGACTGCAATTTGCAGCTCTACTGCCTTTACTTCATTATTGTCAAGCCTTGGAGTTTTTTTTTTTTGGATCCAGTTTCTTTTGGCCTTGTATCGGCACTTTCCTTTTATGTTTCTCTATTTTTTCATATGATAAATTACAAAATTTAGGTGTGATATTGCAGTGGCACAGTTTACAATACGCTGCCTCTGACCCATCTGGAGCTTTTTGTACATCTCGTCCCATTTGCCTTGATATTTACGACTGCTGTCGTAAGATGACTTCCACTTATTAGACATGTAACAGCCGTTGATGATAAAGATTTATATAAATGGCTGTGCCAGTGTGATAATTATTCAGATTGATTTATTCACAACTTGTGAACACTAAAATTGACCTTACTTTACTGCTAGACTTATTACGCCACCATAGGACCACAAATTAGACTTAGAAAAACAGTGGTGGTGTAATAAGTCTAACGGTAAAGTAAGGTCAATCTTAGTGCTCACAATTCATTAAGAAGTCTAGACAAGAAGCATATCATAGTATTGATTGATTCACTTTCATAGCGAACTGATCTGGCCTTAAAGAAACATTCATTACATTGTAAAACCAATGAAGGATTTTAACTACCGATTAGGTGCAATCAGAAAAAAGATTCTCTTCATTTTTTTTAAATGTACAATATCACCTTTTTGGAAAGTAATACTAAACATATTTCTTTTACGTCAAATCAATCTGAACATAACACAAAAGTGGTAGTTATGGGTCACCATGATATACATGTTTTTATTTCAGTTATTAATATTAAATTTTGCATGCAAAAAAGCAGTGTTATATCATCTATAAATAACGTTTTTAAGATTATTGGTAATGTTAAAGTAATGTTAGTTTTTGAAATTAAAAAAAATTTAACAAAAATTTTCATACTTAACAATGTGGGGCATGGCGACCAACTGTGATCTCTGAACTGCATTTATACTAACAGTATCATACAGTGTGGCCACCGCTTTTGAATAAATAATTGCCATCAGTTTCATTACAAAATCTTATTATATAGAAAGTACACTTACAGTAAATTAGTGCAATTTAAAACAAATTCCAATACGAGACAAACGGAGACCGTGCAGTACAACCACATCATTACGGTCCAAAAGAGAGACTAGTAGTGGCGGTGCGACATTAGGTATCGTGGGTGGCAGTCAAAGACCTAAAGTCTAGACTCGAGTCTAGTGACTGCAGTGTGTTGCGTGTCGTTCTAGCTAGTGGCCGAACCGTTGCCAGATGTAACTAACCAAATTATTTTTCTTAAAAAATAATTAGAAAAGGAGAAATGTAATTTTTGTACAGAAAATTTCAGCCTGTAAAAAAAAGCCAAGAAAAAGCCAAATTGGAAACCCTGCTCCAGGGATGTGCCAATTGTACCATACCTATTTTGCATCAGCAAAAAAAAAATTAGTTTGAAATGGTACCATTCCTATGCTAATTTCTTATTCTGTTTTTACACTGAATATGTAAACTTCTTCACTTTGTATCTGTACTGACTTGGAAAAAAGTTTATATTTATACGTCGTCGGTACTGGAAAATGGGACTAATCTTTGACTTGAGTTTTAAAATATATCCCAATCATTTTACGAAGATACTTTTTACGACTGCTGTTGCCAGAGGAATTATTTAAATCTATAGTCTGTCGAGGCGGACGACAGCCTCCAAATAAAGATCGGCACTGCAAGACCTTTATTTTTTACATCTCGAATACAACAAACAAAATGTGAAGATACCTTAAATCCTTTGATGTATTTTGCCAATTATTGAACAAACATTAAATTCTTTAAATTTATCTTACTTGTCAATGATGGGGATTGACGATGTCCTTTTAAGAACAAATGCCTTCTCATTTATGAAAATAAATCTTACAAAATGACATACAGAAATTTAATTCACTATTATTCTATTGCATATTCAAAGTAAAAAACTAAGTAAATTGATTTTGGTTTCATTTAATTTTGTGAGAACCCAGGATGGCATTTTTGTATTTTAGGCAATTTAAATATTTGTTGAAAGAAAAAACTTTAAGCTCGAAAGGACAAATATCGTGAAGTTTGCAAGATTTTCTCATTGATAAAATTTCCTTTGTTAGTGACACATCCGGCAAAAACCTACTAGTCAAAGGAACTTTTGCCAAAAATGGGCAATTGGACTAGCAACAACTCCGTGCATAAATTTACCAAACATAAAAATTTATGGTAATTTACACGACAGTCAAAATTTTTGTTAGTAGTTTTTCTGTGGTAAAGATAAGATTGATGCTAAAAGGAAAAATGTAAGGTAAATACAGGTAAAAATTTTATGGGTACCACTTCCAAGTGCCAAACTTAAGATTTTTACCTGTATTTACCTTACATTTTTCCTTTTAGCATCAATCTTATCTTTACCACAGAAAAACTACTAACAAAAACTTTGATCATTGTGTAAATTATAAATTTTTTTACATGTTTGAATATCAATTGTTTTGGTTTAAAAATTGTATTTTGCCAAGACTTAAGATCGATCGGCGACTGTTGAACAAATACGCTGCCAACCAAACTCTTTCGATATTCATTTTGGTAGGTGCTGACCGACGCTTTTGATATGCCATTCGGAAAAGTCCTTATAAAAGGTTTTAGTTGGCATAAATTTGAAGTTTAATAATTCCGAGTAACGTTTTGAATAAAATTTGTCATTTCCATGCAATTTTATCCTTTATAAACATAAAATTAAGCTGTAAAACCAAATTAGCTATGGGGAAACCCCTGCAAACTTTTACCTATCGACCCAGAAGTTTGGCCGGCACCTGGCCCATAACCAGAAAGGCTTAAGTTTAAAATTTCAGCTTTTTACATCAGGTAGTTTTTGCAGTGTCAGATGAAGAAAAAGGAGAAAATACAGCTTCTCCGGCAGTTTTTGCACTTTTCAATTGCTTATATTTCAGCCACAGCTTTACACAAAATCTTGGAATTTTGCACACTAAGAAAACAATATTCCTTCAAGCAAGACGAGATATTTGGAATTACTTCAGATGTTTGGGAGCGGAAAAATGACCCCCGAAATTCGGCAACTCTGATTCCTGTATATGTAGTCGGTCTGTGACTTTTTTACTTGATGGGGAGTGACTTCTGCGACTCCTGATTTAGTTATCAGAATGCAGAGGGACAAGATTATAAATAAAAAGAAAAGTAAGAGCGTTCTCCTGTTCACCATTACAGTGAACAGGAGAACCTAGCATCAACAGCCTGTCGCTGCCGATCTCGGTTCTTGCCACTCCATGCTGTAGAACTTGGAATATTTGTGATCGATCCCGGATATTATTACCTACACTCAAGACTCTTCGGTAGAATTAAGACATATGTCCCTCTCACACACAAAACTGAACATTCTATCTCTCTCATAGGTGCTCATAGAGGTTCAGACTGTCTATTGCTGTTTTTCTTGTATTTAATATTTGGCTGAAAAAATAAACATCTGTTTAATTGTTAATTGCATTGCTGAGTGCATTACTTCTAGATTCTGTCTCTAAACTTCTTCTTCCATCTTTTACTGTCAATTCCCATATACACAGACACTTATACATTTATTTGAAAGGTTAATAAAAATATGACCGCGTGGCATTTTGGGAGCTAAGCGGCACCACCCCATACATCTCAGAGTTTTTAAAACGCTCTGTGGGTTATTGGGTATATGTGTAAAAAAATTGTATTTTGGTTTTAACAATTTACTTTTTCAAAAATGTCCTTACAGACCATTTATAAACCAATTTACTTGTCTTTATTATCATTATTCGTTTAAGGCCAGGCAATATGCCAAGGTGGAATGTCTCCAGTTTGTGTGTTACAAACGCCAAAGGAAACCTGGGAAACTGCACATGTCGAGGGGTATTTTTCACCAGGCCACTGGCGGGCACAATTTACTCGTTTACAACATATTTGGTTTTTTGACAGTCAAGATCTTTAACTTTCCTACCATTCTTTTATAGCAATTTTTAAAATGAGTGGATAAGTTTCAGACCATAGCCATTTTTCACAGTACATTATAAGGAGAGCAACGAAAACTTGACGGTAAGATGGGTGTAAAAATTTATGGTTGGCAAGAAGGGATGGCGAGTGAAAACATTAACTGGGTTCCCCGTATGGAAACATTTCCCAGGGCGGAAGGTAATTTCAAAGAGGGGGGACAGATAATCGGCAAATGGTGGGTTCATAAAGGCCAGCGTTGCTGATTTTGATGACGAATCTGACAGTAACAGACGAAAGATGGGCATCCAGAAGAACAAAGTTTTCAAGGAGATGAGAGGGAAACTTTTATTGATCCGACGTCATTGCTACAGGTATGGATCTTTCAGGTCAAATACTTTACAACAGTGGTTCCCAAACTGGGAGCTACTGCCCCACCTTGGGTGGTGAGTAAATCGAGGGGACGCTGGAGTGAGGGTACTGAACGGTGACTCTAGGTGGGGGTTAAAGTCAAGAAAATGGGTTAGGAGGCACTGGGTATAAGTTTAAAGAAACCGAGGGGCAGTGGCTGTAAAAATTTGGGAACCACTGCTTTACAAGGTGACGGCATAATGGACTTTGTGATGTTGACTGTCGCCATTCTTTGCCAAGGAATGGTGGTGACAATTAATTGCACTGTTTGTACAATTTACCCGCACGGGCCAAACCCTTAAATCTGCAGTCCGCCGAGCAGTTCTTTTCTGGCCTAGGAAGCTTTATCTTTCTGAGAACCATATGGTAAAAGGACATTCCAGGCTTAGGTAAAAACAGCAGAGGAGGCAAACGTGGCCATCCGGTCCGAGTCTGGAAAGCGGAAGAAGTCTGTGGAAGGCGGGTGTCCAGGCGAATCCATGCGCAGGTAATCGGAAGGTGCAACAGGTGGGTGGAGGGGAGAGTCTTCCAGCTGTATCATGGGCACCACTTCCATGGGCACGGCCGGCACCGGACCGTCTCCCACCGGTCGGATGGCTCCCACATCGTCATAGTGGGTCGAGTCTCCCAGGTTGACGTAGAGAGCATTTCCATTTTCGGCCATCTGTAAATAGTCATTGTTGTTGGTGGCTTCCCGGTTCATGACCGTGTACGGCGCATTCAATTCCACATAATACTGTGGGAGGAGGAATTTTGTTAGTCTGGTGGCAAATTGCCAGTCGAGCAAAAAATGTTCTCACCTTTCTGACACTGGCTTCTAACAGTGATCCGATTTTTTCCGACAGTTCCGTGAAGTCCGGTCGTCGCTCGGGCTCCGTCCTCCAGCAGCTCAGCATGACGTCATAGCTGGAAAGGAGGAAGAGTGTCGTTTAAGGCAGCGATTCCCAACCTGTGGTACGCGTACCCCTAGGGGTACGCGATAGGTTGTTTAGGGGTACAGAAAAAAGTTAGTTATTATGGCAGAAAAAGTAATATATTATGTATCACAAACTAATAGTATTAAAAAATTATTAGGTAAAATATGTTCCTTGCAACAATCACAACTTTATTACACATTTTTTCATTTACTTTTTTTTCTTTAATTTAAAGTTACAATATGTAAAATTAACAATATGGGTACTCACTAAATTTCTTAAATGAGGAGTACAATCTAGAAATATGACATGTCACGGGGTACGCTAATGAAAAAAGGTTGGGAACCACTGGTTTAAGGGCAGGTGCAGAAAGAAGAAAAAGAGGGAGTGGGTACTCACACACTGCTGGGAGCGTAGTCAGGTTTTTCCATTCTGTATCCATTTTTCAGTCGCTTGTAAAACTCTTCGTCAATATCGATCCCCGGATAGGGATTTCCGCCCAGCGTGAAGAATTCCCACAGCAATATGCCAAACGACCAACTGTTGCATCCGGAAAAAACATAACGTAAATCAGACATTTATATTCCACCATAAATTAAGTAAACAAATGCACTGGCACACATATTAATAAATTAATATTTAGTTTCTGAAGATGTCCAAAACAGAACCACCATTTATTTATCTCGTGTTCCAGACTACACACTTTCTTGGTGACCGACCTTTCTTTTTAGGCTACCGGTTGCCAGAAGTTAAAAAAAGTCCTTTTAAAAAACACACACAATATAGCCAATTAAAATTACCAGAATTTCTAAAAAAGGAACTGGTGACATACAGACTTCTTTCTTGCTTCCATCCATACCTTCTTGGGGTTTTTTGGCTTTTATCTACTGGAAATAAGCACTGGAAAATGTAGATTTAAAAAAGCTGCCCCTGGTGATGATACAGTGTAAAACTTTCATCCTAAAAAGAAAGATCAGTCGCCAAGAAAGTGTGTAGTCTGGAATACGAGATAAATAAATGGTGGTTCCTTTTTGGTCAGACTCTGTCTTCAGAAACTTAATAATTGCCATTCGGACAAAAATTTACAAAAAAAAAAAATATTAAGATTTACTTTAATTCATTTCTTTTTAAACTACTTAGTAACTGAATTTCTCACAAGTGCAGGTTCTGTGTTGACATTTCACTGCTAAAATTTAAATCAATTAAGTTCTTAAAATATAATTTCTCCTTTATTTGATTGATAATCAATATATATTATAAAGGTAAGTGTACAATGTGTGTGCTGCTTAAAACTCAAAAACGAGTCCTGATACGATCAAGGGAGTTATATGGTGTGGTAGCCCTCTATCCCCCATCCATGAAGAAGGTTCCCGTTTTTACCTGAAGGGTGTGCTTTTGAAGATATAAGGGCTGGAAGTTTTGCCCTCTAGAAATTTCCACAACATTCCAGAATGTTCCGGGATGTTGAACGGTTAGGAGTTGAAAGTTGAAATTTGGTACACAGTTAGGGTATGTCACGAGAATGCACACTAAGAAGAGCTTTTTCGAAATTCCTCCCCACGGGGAGAAGGACAGGATTAAGGCTTAACACTTCCATCAACAATGGAAGTGTTATGTAACAACAGAATTGTTAAGAGAAAGCAATGTGCAAGACGCAGATGCAGTTTTTTTTTCATTTTTGCAAGAAATCAAACATACTTTTAGACCCATCTAAAAATTCTCTAATTAGTCTGGAAACAGGGAGACCCAATTCTTGTATTCTGCAAAAACGGGTAAGGTTGACTATAACGTAATAATCTTAATCTTCGCTATCGTTACTTTTGCCCGAGCAACACCAGGCTTATCTGCTAGTGTATAAATATGGTTTCCTGTGCACAATGACAGAATATTGAAAGTTTGGAAAAATCCTGTTGTTAAAACCTAATAAAAATGGAACGTTTTTCTATAATTGGATTCTTATAATTTGAAAGTTCTTTTACAAATATATTATTTATTAAATTAAAATGCAAAAGTTAAAGTAAGTTAATAATGACTATAAAAATGGGTTTGATAAGAAGTATTTTAAAGTAATTTTAAGTTTACGAGTGGCATCGGGGTCGATGGCGGAAAAAAAACCAAATGTTATTCCTACATTTTTTGATGTGCCTAAACTTCTGGAGTTCTACGATGTAGAAGGGAAAATGTTTATGAAAGAATAGCTGCACAAACAAATAAAAATTTACTTACTTTTATTATTTGTACCTTAAAATATTATTTCCATTAATATAACAACGTTGTACTTGGTAACAATGTATGTCATTTCTTTTCATTTAGTCCCGAATTAAATTAATTCACTATATAAATATTTTTATTATATTTATTAACTTCATAATTTGTTATGTAGGCTTTTTTTTAACTCTGCACCCTGTGAGCACTAAGAAAGCTTCTTTTAGCAAGCCCACAGAGGGGCAGCTGGGTGGTGAGGAATGGGGCCCAACATATCCCGATCACCCCAGAAAAATTTTCAGGGATTTTTCAATCTGTCCAGATTTGAACCAGAGTCAAATCCGGACAGATCGGCAGGCCTATTGTTATGTAGGCCAGTGTTCCGCAACCTTTTTCTACTCGTGGCACACCTATGACTCCACGTGACTCAACACGGCACACCAAAATGTTATTCCCCTCAAAAACGTATGATATGATACTATTAATGGAATTCTGTAATGCCATAAACCTATTATTATTATTATTATGTTGAGTTTTGTGAGTTACACTCTATAAATAAC